CAACTTCAATACCTTAAAAATTGTTTGTGAAATAAAACATGTTCAAAAGTAATACAGATAAGAAACATAAACATCATCGAATTTCGGTCAGATTTTCTAAATGCTCTCTCATCATTTATTGAAATAAAAAATTTAATATTTTGTGTGGAAAATAATCTCAAAACAAATTTTTGAAAAAGAAAAGTCCCAGTTCGCGGGCTGCCACTTTGTAACGGGGCAAATCCCCCTTCTCTGCGAAGCAGGTCCAGGACATCAGAGGCACATACGTCCTCTGGTATAAGATATGCCAACGTTACTCGAGGTGCCGGATAACTTCAGTGGGATGCCTGGATTCGGGCGCCATGGAAAAAATATAATAATGAGTGAAATCGAAATTGAGAGAGAGAAAATTTTAACTGGAAAGGGAATTTAGCAGAGTTCCGTCTGATGCTGCTCAACTCGCGCACCACTACTTCACTACTTGCGTTAAAGGAAAGCGTGTTTTCCAACTTACAAGTATTTATTTAAATTGAGATTTATCAATAATTTCCACGTATACATATAATTCATTCTTAAAATTCTACGGATATTCTGATCGAAACTCGAGGGAAAATGGTTCGGAAGGTGAATTAAAATACATCTCTAAGACCAACCAAATCTAAAATCTACTACTTTTCTCAGTAAAACTCGCAGAGAGATGCAGCTCAACTCGCGCACCTCGCTCCGCGCTTTCCACCGAGGAAAGGCCGCTACTCTTGGATCACGTTTGCAGGGGTAATGCACCTCAGCTCGGGCACCACGTCCCACGCAACCGAAACCCCAAGAGGTCCAAAGCTGGAGCAAATCTTCGGTAAAGCTTTATTCACCGTACCGCCTATTTGCTCCAACCGCAGACATAACAAGCCAGGATCGCAAAGTAAGAAGAGAAATGCAGGCTCACCTCGCCGCACCTCGATCGACGTACTAGATAACTCGCTTTAACAGTCTGCTGGATCGGAACGTCCCCCCCGATTGATGGGTCTGGTCGGGAGGCCACCAATTTACAAATTTCAAAAAAAGCAAGTTTTCGAGTCCCGTTCCATTTTGTGAGCATACAATATATCAAAAAAAAATATAAAATTTACATCGTTGGCTTTGCCTCGACTTCTTTTATCGAACTATACAGTTAAAATTAAAATACAATTTGTTTTAAAATTTTAAATTAATGAAAAATATTTCAAAATTGACAGAATTGTCACAGCGCTCTCTATTGGCGCGTCGCGGTGCTCGGATGGACGCCGAGCGTCAGCTGATTTCTTCCTTGGTTCGTCGGCGCAGACGCGGTGGTGCCAAGCATGCGCGTTCGCGACTTAATTGTTTCAATTTTTTTATTCACATGAGCTTAAACTTAAAACGGGGGAAATTTTCCCCGTTACAGGGGGGACCCTCCCCCAAGTGGGGGGCTTGAGGGGCGCCGGCTGCATCGGGGCCGGAGACTGCCGTTCGAGGAGTGCCTTAGGGACGTCCGACGGGAGGAAAGAGCGTCCGATGAGCCACACTTGCACGGGGTACACCCCGTGCACCCCTCCAGNCACACCCGGGTGTGGCCTGGAGGGGTCGTTTAGTGGGTACGGAACACAGCGGCGTGCTCTACCCCCACATAACCGGGTTTTCCCATGTCACAGTGGTCGGGTCGGTTAGGGGTCGCTTCGACGGCTCTTCACCAGCTGATGGCCGTTGCCGTCCCGGTATTCGGTGGGCCCCTTTCATGGGGAGCGTTTTGGCGACCCTCATGATGGGGGCACTGTGGCGAATTTTTCCCCTCATCATCAAAAAAAAAAAAAAAAAAAAAAAAAAAAAAAAAAAAAAAAAAAAAAAAAA